TACTCCCAGCTTCTCAGGAGGCTAAGACAGGCAGATTGTGAGTTTAAGGCCAGCCTGGACAACATAGCAAGACTCTTATCTCAAAGTAAAAAAATAAGTAAATAAAATAGGTTGAGAATACAGCTCAGTGGTAGAGCACCCCTGTGGTTCAATTCCTAGTACTGCTAAAAGAAAAGAAGAAACAACAAAACAAAGCAAAATAAACAAAAAAGCCAGGCTTTTTTGTATGAAGGGAAAAATGCAGGGGATTTATATTTAAAAGCTTCATAGTAAGAATTACTGTTTTCTATTTCTCTTCTAATAGTAGATGACAGAAATTATTTCTATTTCACAATTTGATAATGCCAGAGGTTGAGATCAGCTTGTGGGAGATGAAGGAAGATAAGGGAGACTGTACCTAGGACACTGTCTTCCTGCAAAAGCAGTATCCAGCAGATTTGAGGAATGTCTGCTTGCAAAGACAACCTGACCAGTCCACTCTTGGGGTGCACACACGCGTTTGTGTGTGCATGTGAGTGTGCATGTGCGTGCACATGCATCTTAGAAAACAGGTTTTTAAAAGGCTATGTTGGGGCTGGGGATTTAGCTCAGCGGCAAAGCGCCTGCCTGGCAAGCGCAAGGTCGTGAGTTCGGTTCCCGGTACCGGAGAAAAACCAAACAAACAAAAAAAAAAAGCTTTGAAAATTCCATAACTCTCTTTGACACACAATTGTAAAGAATTTGTGTTAAACTGTCAACCACTTACAGAGAAAGAGCTGTCAGATAAACCATTCTTAAATGGCTGGCGGGATAAATGGATGCAAAGATGGTTAACGTATTTACTTAAAATAAGTTTTAAAAGCAAACAGCAAAGGCACAAAGCTATGTTTTTAGGAGAAGGCTGAGTAAGCAGGTCCCGTGAAGGAGGGGCATGGGGAAACAGCGTGAAGCACTACTGTGCCACGTCAGAGGTAAAAGGAACCTCAGCAGCCTGGAGGAGACAGACAAGGGCCTGAGGATCGTCTGAGTCCACTGCTCCTATGGAGAAAAGACTTTGGAAGACAGGGTATGGGAGCATGTGTGTCTCCAGAGAAAAGGCAGGGGAGTGTGTAAGTGGTAACCAATGAACACAGTGCTGTGAGCATGTCTAACGGTCCTGGAGGTCCAAGTCGGTGTTCTGATCCAATCTGGAATTAGTGTCCCTAACAAGACTGTGGGATGAGTATGGGCCACTGACAAGTGTGGAGACAAAGCCCTCAGACACATGTAACCATGTAGGACTTTTTCTTTAACATATTCAATACAGTGTCAAGACCTGAAAATGAACTCATGCAGAGATTTTTAATTTACCTGTAATTTTCATTGTAATCTACCTCAAAAGGGGATTTGGGACAACTCATCAAAGATCCATACAAATCATCTCCTCTGTACCTCCCACAAATACCTCATCACATATCTTCCTTAACTGATTCCTCAGTGGGATTCCCAAGGAGAACATCAGGTCCCCACTGGTTACTACAAGGACTCTAAGGCCCCTTTTTGTGGTAGAGGTCACACCACTAATGACTACAGCACAGATCCCAAATTATCATCAGTCTGCCAAACTTTACATCATTGGGATCATTTTCTTTTTAAGTGTAAACTAGAGAAGCCAAGTGACAATTCAAGTAGAAGGAGACAAAAGGACCTGAATGGAGGGCAACTCCAGAGAAGACACAGGAATAATATAAACTTGCAAAATGCAAAGAATCAACCAAATGATGACCGCTATTCCCTGACTTAGTGTACTAAACTCTCATGGAAACAAATAATAAATAAACCAGCTAAGAATGAACTATAAAATATGAGGGCAAACAATAAGTGAAACCACCATTTTAAAGAAAAGTAAGCAGATCTGAAGCACAGTACTGCTGCTAAGCAGAGCAAAGTGGACACCTGGTTATCATCAGTTTATGGATGTCCTCTCATACCTAAAAAGTTTTGAGTTTTGAAAATTTCAACCGGGGCTGGGGATTTAGCTCAGCGGCAAAGCGCCTGCCTGGCAAGCGCGAGGTCGTGAGTTCGGTTCC